CAGGGGGTTAGACTGGATGTCCCTTGTGTTCTCTTCCTATTATATGATTATGTGCTGAATAGCACTGGGCACAGGACAGAACCCTGTGGCACCCTGCTGGTCTCTCCTCTCCAGGATGAAGAGGAGCCATTGTTGAGTGCCCTTTGAATTTGGTCAATTACAAATCCACCTGTTGAATTGTCTAGCCCACCCTTTACTACCCTGTTTGCAAGAATATCATAGGGGACCTTGTCAAAGGTCTTACTGAAATCAAGATATGCTATATCCATAGCATTTTCTCCATCTACCAAGCTTGTGACTCTATATAAGAAAAAGAGACAGATAAAGTCAGTCTGGCAAAACTTGTTTTTGAAAAATCCATGCTGATTTTTAATAATGATGGCATTCCTTTCTAAGTACCTACGGACTGTCTAATTGTCTGCTCTAGAATTTTTCCTAGTATTGATGTCAGGCTGTATGGGAGGTAATTATTTGGATCCTTTTTTTTCTCTCTGAAAATGGGGACATCGTTTGCACTCCTTCAGTTTGCTGGGACTTCTCGTGTTCTCTAGGATTCTCAAAGATTATTGACAGTGGTTCTGAGATTACTTCTGCCAGTTCTTTTAATGTCCATGGATATAATTCATCTGGTCCTGGAGGCTTGGAATTTGTTTAGAGTAGCCAGGTATTCCTGTACTACCTCTTCTGTGCTGCATTTCCCCTATTGCATTATCTGCTCTATTTTCCCCAGGTTGAGCAGCGTTTTCCTTTTGGGAGAAGACCGAGGCAAAGAAGTTGTTGAGTTTTTTGTGGTTTTTTCGGACTGTGTGGCCATGTTCTAGAAGAGTTTACTTCTGCTGTTTTGCCAACATCAGTGAAGATGCCAACCTCAGATGCTGGCAAAACATCAGAAGAAAACTCTTCTAGAACATGGCCACACAGTCCAAAAAAACCCACAAAAAACTATGGATGCCGGCCATGAAAGCCTTTGACTTCACAAGGTGTTGAGTAATTCTGCCTTTTCTCTGTCCGGTTAACTTTTCCCCATCTTCTCCATGCAGCAGCCCTATCATTTCCTTGTTCTTCCTTTTGCTGTGAATATAACCAAAATAGCCCTTTTAATTATTTTTAACCTTTCTAGCAAGCCTAAGCTCATTCTGAACTTTCGCTTTTCTGACTTTCTTCTTACTGGCAATTTGTTTTAATTCTTCTTTGGTGATTCCCCCCCTTTCCCCCCCCCCCCCATGTCTTGTACATGCCCCTTTTGAATCTTAGCTCAATTTAAAGTTCTTTAGACATTCATCCTAGTTCTTTAAAACAAAACTTCCATTTTCCCTCCTCACTGGAACTGTTTGAAATTGTGCCTTCGGTATCTCACTTTTAAGAAACTCCCATCCATCATGGACTCTCTTCTCTTTTAGTATTCCTGACCACAGAATCACCCCTAGTATTTCCCTAAGTTTACTGAAATCAGCTCTCACAAAGTCTAGAATGTGTGTCTGACTATGCTTGGCTTCTCCTTTCCACTGTGTAACAAACTTTAGGAGAACATGGTCACTCCCGCTTAAGGATCCTGTCTCTTCTGCCCCACTAACCAAATCTTCACTGTTGGTTAGGATCAGATCTAAAATTGCTGATTTTCTTGCCTCTTCCACCTTCTGAACAATGAAATTGTCTGCAAGGCAATTGAGGAATTTGTTGGACCTTAAATTTCTGGCAGAGTTTGACTTCCAACAAATATCAGGATAGGTGAAATCCCCTATTACTACTACCTCTCTCTTTTCTGAATGTGTGGCCATCTGTTCCAGGAAGGCATAATCCAGACCATCAGGAGTGCTGGTGGTGTGGTGGTTAAATACCTGTACTGCAGCCACTCACTTACAAACCACAAGGTTGTGAGTTCAATACCAGCCAGGGACTTAGGGTCAACTCAACCTGGCATCCTTCCGAGGTCACTAAGATGAGTACCCAGCTTGTTGGAGGCAATTAGCTTACACATTGTAAATTGCTTAAGTGCACTGATAACGGTATAGAAATGTACTTGCTTGCTGCTTGCCATCATCCAAATCCAGTCTCTGACTTGGGGGTCTGTAGTACATCCCTACAATGACAACCCTCTTGTTTCTTTCCTCCTTAATTTTTACTCAGATGCTCTCAACCTGACTTTCAAAATTTAAGTCATGGATCTCTTCACGGGTGTAAATAGGTTAAGAGGCTAACAATGTTTGGAGCAGATTTATTTTCTGCTACTCCAGAGTCTAAGGGCCTTTGCAGACTGCTAGAAATAGTGCAAATTGAGTTCACTTTAACTGTCTTGGCTCAGTGCTAGGGAATCATGGGAATTGTATTTTTTTTTCTGAGACATTGAGCCTTCTCTGAGAGTTCTGGTGCCACAATAAACTACAGTTCCCATGATTCCCTAGCACTGAGTCAGGGCAGTTAAAGTGGACTCAATTTGCACTATTTCTGGCGGTCTGCAAAGGCCCTATGGTCCAAAATACACTGCAGAAATGATCCAGTTTGAGACCGCTTTAAGTGCCGTAGCTTCTTGCTTCCCCTTGTCATTACTAATAAGGGAGATAGTTTCAAATCAATTCTGCACCTCCAAATTCACAGAACGATCCCTGATCCTTCTATTTCTGTGTGTCACATCCCTCCATCTATCTATCTCCTGTGTATGGGAACTGACCTCCTTCCCAGAGATATCCCCTGTAAGTTCCTCAACCAGGACAGTCTTCTCCACTTTGTCCAAGAAATCCTCATGCTTCCTAATATAGTGCAAAGTGTATAAATAAATCTCAGGTTGCTGTACCTTCTCATCCAACAGGGCAACCAACATGCACTTGCAGGTGTTGCTATCTACATCCTTTGGCAAGAACATCAGCATACCACAGTTGCTTCGGGTGACTGCAACAGCTCCCTCGCTGTCCATATTTAGTACTAAGTAGGCATTGAAACAGAGTCTCCCCCTCAAAACTCCTACACAAAACACTCTTGTTGGTCTTCCCTTTTAGCCGAGTTGTTTGCTAAGCTCCAGGGACAAGGACTACACATGTATAGAGAGCTAGTGGCTTCTACCTCCTCCCTCTACCAAGTCCTCCCTCCCTCCATCACTGTTCTTCAGGCATGATAGCTAGGTATACAGAGCCTCTATGTTCAAATGCAGCATACCACTGAATACCAGTGGTTTGTGGATGGGGCAACAGGAGAGATAATTTCCTTCAGTCCTGCTGTGGGGGCATCTCATTTGCCCCCAGGGAGAAAGGATGCAAGACTGAGCAGAGGGTTGATCAAATTCAGCAGGATCGCTCTTACATTTACATGAGCTAAATATGCTACTGTAGAACCTGTGTTCAGACACACAAGCTCATCTCCTCCCCAAATTTGTTGGCAGCAGATGGGACTCCTGTCTTATCAGATCTCTGAATTGCTCTTTATGCTCCTTTTAAGACGGGCATATTTAATAATGTATTTGTTATAACCTTCCCTAATCCCACTTCAATAAACGTTGTGCAACCCATAGTACAGAGTTCTTTTGTTGGGGGAGAGGTGTATGTGGTCCTTGGATATTGTAAGATTCTGGTTCCCATCATCCCTAGCTAGCACAGCTTATAATGAGGGCTACTGGGAGGTACAGTTCAACAGCATCTGAAGGGCCACACATTCTCTATCTATTTCATGGGAGAGATTCTTCCTTGAAGTAACAAATTAACATTTTTCTCTGTTTTTTCCAGGCCCTGGAGGACAGAATGGAGGCACACCTGATGGGTCCTCCCACTTCCCTATGTGGTGAGTAGCTTTATTGCTTCCAGATGATGTAATCAGTTCTCATGGTGTGTGAATACAGTACCAGAGCAATGCAAGGATTCACACTTACTATCATCTTTGGCTTACTAATGTTTTGGGTTTGATTTTTCTTTTTTTCTTTATCCATGCATCCAGGGAGGGCTCAACCAATGAAACAGTGAAGACTCACCGTGAGTGATAATGGAAGTGACAAAATCAGGCTCCTACTGCTCCAGGAGTATAGAGGATGCTGATGCCTGCCTGCCCACCTGCCCAGAGGGCCTTGCTCTTTTCAGTGCTGAGGAAGTTGTGGCCATTGGTGCCCTTTCACCCATCTTGTGGCCTGGCTGCTGGCCAACACTGGTGCTGTGAGGACAGCTTCTATCCATCCAGTTATCAAACACTGACTCTCAGGATTGCTCTTACTCAGGTTGGAGAAGCTGCAGTTTCTCCTCTTCATTCAAGGAGTCTGCATTATTTTTTGCAAATCCTTTTGTGGACTGGCCTTAAGCCTGCCTGTCTTCAGTCTCCCATCCATTCCTGGCATGAGCCGCATTTCGTTCTGCAGTGGTGCTTGAGTGCCCTTTGCCTTGAACCAGCAGCCTCAGTGTGGAAGGAAAGCAGACTCTCACAGCAGATGGGAAATTATTTCTCGTTTAGTTTAAAATGTCCTTTGCTGCCATCTGCTAAGTACTTCACCTTGCTGCTGGAAATTTGTAGAGATTAGCAAGCTAATTCATATTCTTGCTGGTTCTCTCCCCAGGTCCATGTTTGTGCCAATAACTATCTTTGAGCTTACTTGTTTTCTAAGCCAGTTTTGTCTCCAAACCATTGTCCATGGTGCTCATGCTATGGAGGAGCAAGGTGAAGCTCTCTGCAGCTGTGTACGGCCACAGGTGCTAATGTGATATTGAGCCATCCATGTTTCTGCCAGGCACTGCCCCTGTGTCACTGCGTGTAAGATATGGACTATAAAGAGATGGGAAAAGCAAATGACGTCTGGATCTTATTGCAGTGACTGTTGTGTTTTTCATTAGCTGAGGAGCAGGGGGAAACTGTAGGCCTCCATATATTGCTGAGCTTATTATTGCCTTCAAGTCATTTCCAACTTAGGGCAATCCTAAGGCAAACCTATCATGGGGTTTTCTTAGCAAGTTTCTTCAGAGAGGTTTGCCATTGCCTTCCCCTGAGGCTGAGAATGTGTAACTTTCCCAGGGTCACCCAGTGGGCTTCATGGCTGAGCTGGGAATTGAACCCTGGTCTCCAGAGTCCTAGTCCGGTGCTCAGACGACTACACCACACTAAGCTGCAACTCCCATAATTTTTTACCATTGGTTATGCTCACTGGGATGTCCAAGAGCTGCAGACCAATAATATCTGAAAGGCAGAGTTCACCATGCTGCAAGTGTGAGGCTTAGCATTTGAACAGAACAGTGCTGTTCGGAAGTACGCATGCCTCTTTTCCCACAATTACTTTCTCACTTTGCATTCCATCATCTAAAACACTTTTAACCTTAGAGGGTGGTAGTAAAGCTTCCCCAGCTTCTACATTTTGGTTCTATGTGTATGCATGGGTGCAGCTGACATAATCTCTCAAATAATAGGTACATTCATGATACAAGCAGAGAATGGTGCTCTAAATGTTGTGGCCCTGAATCTTGGCTGGAGCTGAGGAAAGAGAAAGGATTTGACGAAGTTGAAAAACTGTTCAGGATTCTACTTCTTCCAGATTCTAGAACCACCACCAGCTGTTCTGTGGAGCAGGCTAGAAATGGTTAATAAATAGGGTTTTTGCCCAGCTATTCAGTTTGACCTATCTAAATATGAACAATTAGGAAGAAGCCATCATAGAATGGTTTAGAAACAATCCAGCAAAGTATGAAGCGAAACGGGGGTAATTCTAAGCCTACTAGAATATCTGAGAGCCTGTACATAAGCTGTTTTTCCTGTGAATTGGGTTATGTACTAGACTGTTTTTTTTTTTCCTTAAGAAAGTAGAACGGGAACTTTGTGCACTGCTCATATTTTAATAAGCAGGTCTACTTTATCCCAAAAGTAATCAAGATCTTCCCTTGTACCACAAGGAAAACATTTACCCCCTTTATCCAGGAATGTAAAAGGGCAGCAAAAAATGCCAGTTGGGATTGAAACATTTCTACATACATGAATTACAGGAAACACTTTGCTTTCTGAAAGGAATAAGCTAAGAAACTGGCAGGGCTTTACAACTGGCAGGGTCACTTCTCAGTGGTAGCCCAAAGAGATAGTGTAATCGCACACTATTTCTCAGGTGTGCTTTTGGGACCCCCATGGTTATTAAGGTTTCAGGAAGCCTCTCTTCATCTGCAATGAGGTGATTTTCCTTTTTTTCCCCCGCCTCCCAGAAAGAGGAGGTGGGAGAAGGCACTGGGCTGTCTTCACAAATGATTTTGCCCCAGGAGAAGCACATGATTCTTTCATTGTAATACAGATCATATATAAAACAAAGGCTGTCCTAGCAACAGCTCATTTTGTTGTGTAGTAATGGGTGGGAACAAAAGGCATCTTGGTGACTAGAGCTGGGCAGCTCTTCTTCCTCACTTCTACTGTGAGGTTTGTGCCTAGCTTGCTATATTCGCTTTCCACATAGCCCATGGCAATGTTCTTCTTCAGACAGGGGGAAGGGCAGCCGCTGGTAACCTCACCTAAGGCACGGAGGAACAAGCAAGAGTATTGGTCAGTAAGGAACATACATCTCTCCATTTTTTACAAGCAAAGAAACAACAGTGCTGGAAATGGGGATTTTACCATCATCTGGGGTCCTAACATTTTCTAAGGGCAATGACTTGGTTAACAATTAACTAAGGACAAGAGAATTTGAACAAACCATGAAGTGCAGTAACCAGTACACCCTGCATAAATACTCCCTTCTGCAGTATTCTTCCACTTCAGGGAGGTGAAGAGAGCAAATTGTAAACAAGGGGTAGGATCACATGGCTTGTTGGACTGCAAGTTCTAGCAGCTCTAGCTAGCATAGCCAATGGTGAAAAATGCTGGGAGTTGCAGTCCAACTACATCTGGACAATCATGATTTCAACCCTGTTGGAACATTGGCTTAAATCACCAGCTGCAGTGGACCCAGGGAGTCAATAAGATTTAGATAAGTAATTATTTGCCATTCAGCAGTTGATTAAGTGGGTTCTGCTCTAGTTGGGACTAGCAGTTTGATTCAAGTTACTGACTTAGTAGTGTTACAGACTGCCAGAAATAGTTCAAATTGAGTCCACTTTAACTGCCCTGAC